AGAATGGACCTGGTGGTGTCTTCCATCACCTGAGTATCTTCTCACTGTGCTGCATTTTTTAAATATTTTATTTATTTGAGAGGTAGAATTAGAGAGAGACGTAGAGCACAGATATAGGTCTTCCATTTGCTGGTTCACTCTCCAAATGACAGCAATGGTCAGAGCTGTGCTGATCCAAAGCCAGGAACTTCCTCTGGGTCTCCCACATGGGTACAAGGGTCCAAGCACTTGGGTAATCTTCCATTGCTCTTTCAGGCCACAAGCAGATAGCTTAATTGGAGGAGGAGCAGACAGGGCTAGAGCCCATATGGGATGCTGGCACTGTACTATACCACAGCACCGGCCCCATTGTGTTGAGTTTTTTTTTTTTTAACGTTTATTTAATGAATATAAATTTCCAAAGTACGGCTTGTGGATTACAATGGCTTCCCCCCCATACCGTCCCTCCCACCCGCAACCCTCTACTCTCCCACTCCCTCTCCCCTTCCATTCACATCAAGATTCATTTTCGATTCTCTTTATATACAGAAGATCAGTTTAGCATACATTAAGTAAAGATTTCAACGGTTTGCTCCCACACAGAAACATAAAGTGAAAAATAATAGATGATTTTTTAAATGATGATGAAATCAGATCAGACCTATTGTCATGTTTAATCCCAGTGAGAGTCAAGTTGGGAATTGCTAATTTCTTCTTTTTTTTTTTTTAACAGAAGATCAGTTTAGTATGCATTAAGTAAAGATTTCAACAGTTTGCACCCCCATAGAAACACAAAGTGAAATATACTGTTTGAATACTCGTTATAGCATTAAATCTCAATGTACAGCACATTAAGGACAGAGATCCTACATGAGGAGTAAGTGCACAGTGACTCCTGTTGTTGACTTTACCAATTGACACTCCTGTTTATGGCATCAGTAATCTCCCTATGCACCAGTCATGAGTTTCCAAGGCTATGGAAGCCCCTTGAGTTCTCTGACTCTCATCTTGTTTAGACAAGGTCATAGTCAAAGTGGAGTTCTCTCCTCCCTTCAGAGAAAGGTACCTCCTTCTTTGAAGACCTGTTCTTTCCACTGGGATCTCACGCACAGAGATCTTTCATTTAGGTGAGTTTTAAACATAAAAGATATAGACATTTCATCTGACAATTTTAGATTCCCAGAGTAAAATCTGATAAAGGATTAATATCCAGGATCTAGAAAGATCAAGAAACTCAACAACAACAAAACAAATCTAGTTAAGAAATGGGCAAAGGACCTGAACAGGCAATTTTCAAAGGATGAAATTCAAATGGCCAACAGACACATGAAAACTGCTCAGGATGACTAGCCATCAGGGAATTACAAATTGAAACCAAAATGACATTTCACTTCACCTCAGACAGAATGGCTATCATCCAAAAATCAATAAATTGCTGGCGAGGATATTAGGGAAAAGGTACCCTAATCCACTGTTGGTGGGAATGTAAACTAGTATAACCACTGTGGAAGACAGTATGTAAATTCCTCAGAAATCTGAAAATAAATCTACCATATGACTCAGCCATCCCACTCCTGGGAATTTATCCAAATTAAATGAGATCAGCATATGAAAGAATTATCTGTACCCCCCATGTTTATTGCAGCTCAGTTCACAAAAGCTAAGATATAAAATCAACCCAGATGTCCATCAACCAATTACTGAACAAAAAAAATATGGTGTATATGCACTATAGAACACTAGTTAGAAAAAAAGAATGAAATCCTGTCTTTTGCAACAAAATGGATGCAACTGGAAATGATTAAGCTCAGTGAAATAAGCCAGTCCCAAAAAGACAAATATTATGTTTTTTTCTGATATGTGACAGTTAATAGAGAACACAAAATAAAATATATAGGAATAAAACAAATCTCTTGTGATATGATCATTTTTAGCCTTTGTTTGTACTCCTGTGGAACTGTGGCCTTCCTACTTTTTATTTGTTGAATATTATGGTTAGTAGTGAATTAAGCCTGTGTTTATAGACTGGATTCAAATTATGCCTTTGCAAAATTTAATGAAAAGAAGGGAGGGAAGAAGAAGGGGAGGGAGGGCATTATGGTTATCTTCTAAGAACTATACCTATGGAATACATGAAATCTGTTCCCTTCATATTAATAAAGAAGATATGTTAAGTTACATCCAGAATAATCAAATTCTGCCAAATTATAGACATTCATGAAAGTTGAAAAGTTGTAATGTGAAGCCAGGTCTGTGGCATAGTGAGTTAAGCCTACATCTGCAATGCCAGCACTCTATATAGGCTCTGGTTCAAGACCTAGCTTCTCCACTTTCCATCCGGTGCCCTGATAATGCACCTAGGAAAGCAACAGAAGCTGGCCCAAATGCTTAGGTCCGTGCATGCAAGTGGGAGACCTGGAAGAATTTCTGGACTCCTGGCTTTGCAGCCATTTGGGGAATGAACCAGCAGAGGGAAGATCTCTCTCTCTCCCTCTCTATCTCTTCCACATCCTCCTCACCCTTCTCCTCCTCCTCTCTAGCTCACCTTTCAAGTAAATAAATAATAAAGCTTTAAAAAACAGTTGTGATAGAGGCTGGTGCTGAGGTGCAGCAGGTTAAAGCCCTGGCCTGAAGCGCCAGCATCCTATATGGGCGCCGGTTCTAGTCCTGGCTGCTCCTCTTCCAATCCAGCTCTCTGCTGTGGCCCAGGATAGCAGTAGAAGATGGCTCAAGTCCTTGGGCTCCTGCACTCACGTAGGAGACCCGGAGGAAGCTCCTGGCTCCTGGCTTCAGATCAGTGCAGCTCCGGCCGTTGCGGCCATCTGGGGAGTGAACCAGCAGATGGAAGACCTCTCTCTCTCTCTCTCTCTCTCTCTCTCTCTCACTGCCTCTCCTTCTCTCTCTGTGTAACTCTGACTTTCAAATAAATAAAATAAATCTTTAAAAAAAAAAAAACAGAACAGAATCTTATATAAGACAAGGATGAATAATATAATCTAGGATAATCACTAGAAAGATTATGTAACTAACAAGCCAGTAGGGAGAAAATGGAATCACTTTTAAAAATAAATCAGTTTGACTGGAGTTGGCACTGTGACGTAGTGGGCTAAGCCTCCGCCTGCGGCACCCGCATCCCATATGAGCACAGGTTCTAGTCCAGCTCTCTGCTATGGCCTGGGAAAGTAGTAGAAAATAGCCCAAGTGCTTAGGCCCTTGCACCCAAGTGGGAGCCAGGAGCTTCAGATCAGCCCAGCTCCAGCCATTGCAGCCATTTGGGGAGTTAACCAGTAGATGGAAGACCTCTCTGTCTGTAACTCTAAATAAATAAATAAATAAATAAATAAATATTTTTAAAAATATCAGTTTGGGGGCCTGCACTGTGGTGCAGTAGGTTAATCCTCTGCCTGCGGTGCCAGCATCCCATGTAGGGGCCGGTTCTAGTCACTGGCTGCTCCACTTCCAGTCTAGCTCTCTGCTGTGGCATGGGCAAGCAGAAGATGGCCCAGGACCTTGGGCTCCTGCACCTATGTGGGAGATCAGGAAGAAACATCTGGCTCCTGGCTTTGGATTGGCGCAGCTCTGGCTGATGCGGCCATTTGAGGAGTGAACCAGCAGAGGGAAGACCTTTCTCTCTGCCTCTCCCTCGTACTGTCTGTAACTCTAACTCTCAAATAAAATCTTTAAAAGAAATAAAATCATAAAAAAATCAGTTTGATTAATCCAAAGGAAAGCAAAAACATTAAGAACAAAGTTGAGGTAGAAAAACAACACTAAGATGATAAAAACTTTAACACAACTTTATCAGTAATTACATTAAATATAAATAGATTAATGATTCAAATTTTAAGAATTCACATGGTCAGAGTGAATTTTTTTTAAAGATTTACTTATTTATTTGAAATTGAGAGTTCCAGAGAGAGGAGGAGGAAGAGGAGGAGAGAGA